TTGATTGGAAAGACACCCCCCCTATAGACCCCCCAAAAAAAAAAAAAAAAAAAAAAAGAATTATCTTATTTAACTTGTTTATTTTAATTTGACCAGAGAAGGACAGAGCAAGAGAGAGAAAGAGAGAAAAAGTGAGAAAGCAAGCTTCCAGGTCCAGGACTCAAACTGTAGTTGGCCATATGGGAGTCCAGTGCCCTTAACCACCATACCACCTGCCAGCCCCTGGAACACATCTTAACAGCAAAGAATTATTTACTAACAATTTAAATGAGTCTCATTTGTTACTTATCTCTGAATGCTAACTCAAAATATTGGTAACTGCCATTATTCTCAAGACTTAGCCCTACTCTACCCAATCCCAGTCTGTTGAGCCTAGTTCAGGACACCAGGGCATTTATGGGGAAATACTATAAATAAATGTAAACTAATACAGATGTTGTGAAAAAACACTTATGTACATTACAGTTGAGATACAAAGGTGGGAGAGTAAACAATTCTACTGGAGAAAGAATTAAGTGTATTTTGTGTTAATCCAGTTTAAAACTGGCTCTACCCATTATGTATAAAGAGGGAAATCATCATGAGTTAAAAATCTTATTCAAAAAGCTACCATTGCGGGACCACGGTTCGAGTTCTGGGCCTGGTAGTTTAAACTCACACTGGGTGCATGTGCATGCATGCCCAAGATCCCGAGAGAAGAATGGAGGAGAAGGGATTGTGGCGTGGCCATCCTCCCTGGGAAGTGATTTCTCTCTTTCTGTCTTTCTATCTCTGTCTTCTGGTGAGCGCACGAGTCCTATAGAAAAACCTCTCCAAATCAAAAAAATGGCTACCATCGGGGCTAAGGATGCGCCACTCCAAAATATGACTGCAGGAGGTCAGAACATGCCACCCCACACTTCTTTGGCATATTTTAGCTGGTTACTCTGAGAAACTGCAGACATGAGAATAGTTCGAAACAGCTGTCTTTTTGTAAAAGAAATATACATCTATAAAGGAAATTTACATTAGTAAAAATATCTGTATGAAGACAAAGCTGCTACAGACAAGTTTTATCAGCTGAGAGGCTTTTTTTTTTTTTTCAGAGAGATTTTTCCTATAGGACGTGTGCACTTGCTGGAGAGACAGAGAGAGACAGAAGGTGACAAATCACCCCCCAGGGAGGAATCCCTTCTCCTCCATTCTCCCCTTGGGAATTTGGGCATACATGCACACGCATCCAACTTGAGTTTTAAGCCACTGGGTCCAGGACTCAAACTGTAGTTATCTATGTGGGAGTATAGCTAGTGTAACTATTACACCATCAGCTGGTCCTGAGAGACTTTCTACCTGCCTAAGATAACCTTCATTCACCAATTCCTGCATTCTCATCTACCAGAAGCCCCAACCCCCAATTTTTTTCTGTAGCGTAGGATCTATATAAGCTTCAAATTATTTGACTTTTTCTGGTTTTATATTTTGTGGGACTTCCAATATGTATCTAATAAAAGGAGAAAAGGTTCATGGAAAAATGGAATTAAGTTTATTTTGGTACAAATACCTATGCACTGTTTTTGTTTTTATTTGCTAGAAGGCACATGTGCTCAGCAGAGTGTTGTGGGGAGGAGGAAAGCCTCCTTCCATGAGCACGGTCACACCAGTCCATTCTGCATTTTTCTTTCATTTGGGCATGTATGCACATACACCCAGCAAGGTTTTCAAGCTGCTGGGTGTATGTGCACGTGTGCCCAAAAGGTCTGGGACTCAAACCATGCAATCAGCCACGTGGGAGCCAGCTGCCATACCAAGGGCTGGTCCCATGCACAGTTTTCTTTTTTTTTTTTTTTTTGAGACATTTCTTGGTATAGGAGGCATGCGCTATACCAAAGACAGAGACAGACAGAGAGACAGAAAGTGAGAAATCATCCCTCAACGGGGATGGCTATGCCGCAATCCCTTCTCCATTCTCCTTTCAGGATCTTGGGCACGCACGCACACGTGAGTGGCATGAGTTTAATCCACTGGGTCTGGGACTTGAACCGTGGCCGACTACATGAGAGTCCAGCAACATAGCCATTATGCCAACTATTGGTCTCCCAATGCACAGCTTTAAATACACATTTTCTTTATGAATGTTTTAAAGACCCCCTGTATAGGTTTTCTAGATTACTGATGAGCCATTAACAGCCATTTAGATTACTCCCTTAAAAATCAGATCTAAGTTAGTTATTTAGATTTTTGTTCAAATACAAGAATGCCTGATCAGAAATGTTCTCTTACCTCCAACTGTATATCGAGACCCTCCACTGGCGTAGTTAGGGTACTGAGGTTAGGGAGAACCTGCTCACAGAAATAAGTCACAAACCTTGTGGAGTGGACATTTTTCTGTAAAAAAAAAAATCCAAAAAACAAGTTGTCAAAAAAGACTTACTCTGACATGCTATAATAGAACACCAGTCAACACATGCTAATGTCGGAGCATCACAGCATCAAGTACCGTGACTGCAAACACGGCACAGCGCTTGCCCAGAGCACCCCAGATGATCTCAACAGACAATTCACATCTTGCTGCCAGGTCGTCTAGAACACAACATCTCTACAGCTTTGAACTTTTTCTTGCTATTCAGGCTCAAATGTGACAGATATTTTAGTGAATTTTCAGATTGTACATTTCTCACAATCAATAATAGATCCTTTAACATGGGTTTTTCAAACTAAGGTAAACACATCCCACATGATTCATAGCTGGGGAAAACACAAAGCCAGAGACAGAATGTGAAATTCTCAAGACTCGAAAACTCTCTAAGAAAGATGTAAAAGAAACTTCTGGCTGCTTTGGGCTCTTGCCAACCTTACTTTATGCCTCCATAAAGTAAGTATTTACTCCACTGTGCTAAGAAAACGTCTATGGGAAGGTGCGAAGAGACAATTGAGTGAGTACTTATGGAAATCGAGCAGCCAAAATACCAGCTATGTAAAAGGAAGGACTCACAGAGAAGAGGGGCACTGCCTGCCGAGTGCACTGTAAGAGCCTGTCCACGCAGTCGGGGTCCGAGGGATTGAAGGTCTGTTCTAGGTCAGCCTGTTCAGCCACCAACTCCACAAGCTGTTGTCTTCCACTCACTGTCTGTAAGCTTTTTAACCCAGAAAGTATCTTCATGAAGAGAACAAATTCTTCCCCAGTCACATCTTCTAGGACCTGGGAAGAGACAATTCAGAATAATATTGTGTTTATCACTTAAATGGGAAGAATAACACTGAGAGAGAGGAACAGATTTATTGTAGTTACTAGAGTCAGTCTGATATTAATGTTTCTGAAATACGAATGAAAAGACAACTCTAAGCTTCAGTCAATTGACCCTTAGAGTAAACCATGCATCCTGAGAGGGGCAAAGATAAGTTATAGAAAATTTTACCTTTTTATATATATACAAATCTTTTTATGTATGAATTACAGAAACAGATACATGGATATTTGTGACATTAAAATTTCATGGGAGAGAAGTTACAAAAAAAAAGTCTAAAAAGGCTCTTTAATCCTAGATAAATGATTAAGAAAATCTATTGCTAACTGTTGACTCAGATTCATCTTTCTATGTTCAAAAGCAGCCCCAGTCAAGTTAATACAGTAATTGTATACAAAACAGGAGACCATACAAATTTTATTTTTTTATTTTAGATTTTTGCCATAGGGTGCATGGGCTCCCCAGAGAGAGTTGTGTACACTCGCCAGAGAAAGATAGAGGGGGAAAGAGAGAAATTGCCCTTACAAGGGATGGCCATGATGTGAATTCCTTCTCCTACATTCACTTCTCAGGATTTTGGGCACATACATGTGCCCCGCTGGGTTTCTGAAGCCATTAGGTCTGGGATTCAACCACAGTGTTGGCCGTGTAGGATCCAGTACCTTAACCACCAAGCCCTGCAAATCTTATTTTACACTTCCATACCTGTAGGTCTAAACCCTTCTCTTCATTGACCAAAAGAGGTAGCGACAATAACACAGTCTATCAGACTACTATCTGGGGTACATTATGATACTCCTAGCTAGACAGCTATGTCTTTGTTCATCATGAGGGATTCTTATCAGCAAGCAGTGCTACTATAGACAAAACATTGAATCTTCTTGAACATGAAAAAGTAGTAATTATTCCCAAACTTTGGGGCTTTAAAATGAGTGGAAAGCGAGGCTCCAGGTGGCATGGTGGTTATGGCACTGGACTCTCACATGGCCAACCATGGCTCAAGTCCCAGATTTGGCAGCTGGAAAATCATACTGGGTATGTGGACATTCACAAAATCCCAGGAGGAAAGTGGAAGAGACGGGATCATGGCATGGTCATCCTCCCAAGGACTGATTTCTCACGTCCCCTTCTCACTGCCTCTTGGTCTCTCTTGCTGGTAAGCAGATGTGCTCTATGGCAAAACTTAGATAGACAGAAAGACAGAGTGGAAAAGTTAATTGTGACAAGCCCTGCCAGTTTCAGCATCTATAACTGTGCCAGATGCTGGGATGCAGACATGAAGTATGGCTCGACACCCTGTAAGAGTTTACAGTGTCGTGGCAAGGATGAGAAAATAGATTACTTCTATGTGACGGTGTACTCCATTTAAAAATTACCCTGACTACTAGGAGGGAATACTCTTGAGACAGGAGAGATGAGGAGACATTAGGGAGAGTTTCCTGAAGGAGCTGATTTGGACAGAACCATGAAGAACCACATACATTTTTTTTTTCTTTTTTTATTTTTAGAGAGGTTTTTGCTATAGGGCACGTGTGCTCACCAGGCAGAGACAGAGAGACAGAAAGTGAGAAATCACCCCCCAGGGGGGATGGCCACGCTGCAATCAATTCTCCTCCATTCTCCTCTCGGGATCTTGGGCATGCACACACGCACATGTGCCTGGCGTGAGTTTTAAGCCACTGGGTCCGGGACTCGAACCGCAGTAGACTACGTGGGAGTCCAGCGACATAGCCATTAGGCTAACTGCTGGTCCCATACATTTTGAGGATAACACCACAACAATTTAAATGTGATGAAGAAGCCGCGGGCCTTCAGAACAAGGTTCCACATGGCTACTGTGAACTAGATTTTTAAGGGAATGAAGATTTTCTACTAATAATTCAGCCTCCAACAAACGAGCTAGCG